AAAAAATTGGAAAAAATTTATTTTTTACATGATTTTAGTTTTTTCTGAGATTTATTTTACATGTTCATTTTTATGTCTGTCTTTTTAGTTTAATGAACAAAATTTGGTGCAGTTAAAACCATTTATTTTTTTTAATTGGTTATACCTAATTTGCCTATATATTATAAATAATCTCAAACAATTTTGCCATTGACTGATTGCCCACGAAGATATTGCAAAAAATTGAAACTGAAATGAACGAAAAAGCGAGGGACGAAATGATACGCACTGAGATGGAGTGGATTGAAATAAGTGAGGAACAAAGACGAAAAGAAGAACTCATTAAAAAAGCTTCAAAAGATAAACGGTACGCAATGGAAGGTGATAGGAAAGCCGACATGTTACAACAGTTAGGAAGTAAGCAGAAGCACAGAAACAACTTAAATGCTTATGAAATTCAACTAGAAAGCGAGGTGATTTTTTTATACAAAATAAGCTAGTTTTGTGTGCTAGATTATTTAAAATGGATGAACATTTATAGATCCAAAAAATAAAAAAGAAACAAGAAGAAAGAAAAATAGAAGAAGCAAAGAAAAAACATAATTTGACACTTCAATTTAGAAAATCCGTTCAACAATTAAAGAAGCATCGGATCGAGGATGCCAGGATCAATAAGGTATGTTCTGTTGCCTAATCTATGAATAATGTTTGCTTCATTTATCATGAAGTAATTTTGCAACCATTTTACGCTTTTCTGTGGCTTATGGTTGTTGCACTTTTATTTCACCAAAGTTCAATTGAATTATCTTTATTTTATCGACTCATTTATACGCAGAAGTTTTGTTTTGGACAAAATTTTAAATATCATTGAATTGAAAAGTTGTTTATATTTGCATCACGTAATTTACCCAAATTCAATGACGGCTTTGTGAAAAGCAACTAAAACGTAGTAACTTGGTTGAGAGGTGGACAGCGATTGAACATTTATTTCAATTTTCTTCTCGTTGCTGTTAATTAAACCAAATTTGAAAATTTATATAATTACTTTCTCTCTTGTAGAAATTACATTCCATAGAATAGGTATCGGATATTAAATTTGGAAGCTTTCTCCGAAAAAATAAAACAATTTGCAATTTGGTGAATTCCAATGTGGGAATATCGGAAAAGCAGAAATAGGAAAAGTTTTTTTTAGTCATTTATAATTACAAACCAAGTTTTGAAATTCTAA